GAGTTGGCTAGTTCTAGAAACTGCTTTGAAAAAACATATTTCCAGTTCACACGTGCTTCGCCAGCCCTTCTGACATACACCTGCAGCCCCATCACGCGGGGTGGAGTGTGCGGTGCGGACACTCTGATCAGGTGACCAAAACAGCGTAGCATCCGTGGCTTCCCTTGACCCCTTAGCATCTTGGCAGGAGTCAAAGTTAAGCTTATTGTCTTGCTGCAGGGGAACAATGCCGAGGACTCTGCCTGCTGATCTGAGTCTTCCGTGTGCCTCTACGCTCTCTGTGTGTTTAGGGTGCACCTGCCTCCCTCGGTGGCATTTTAATGGAATTATGACTATGGCCTCTGTCATGCTTATCCGGTTCCTATACTCCAAGTGGCATGGATCCAGACCTGATCCCAAACCTGGCTGGTAGCAGTCCTCTCCAGAATGCCTGTTTAACAAGCCTGCCATTGGGCACGTTCTGCTCACCTTGCCAGGGCCAAGTCAGGTGGCTCTGGCCAGAATGCAGTTGTCCCCCGGTGCAGCGTCCAGGATGCGTAGCCCACTCTCCTTTCAACTATGAAGGGGAGAAGTGTGGAACTGTGGGAAATGCCAAGACCAAGAAGCCAACTTTAAGGCTTTCCTTAAGACCCACTTCCTGTGAAGGTCACTCTTGATGACCCCAGCCCATCGTGACACCTCCTGGGGGAAATCCTGGAGCCCTGACTGCCTTTATCCATCACTTGTCCTTCAGCACTTGTTGCATTGCAATGGTGGTAATCTTTTTGAATGAACTGGGTCTTGCCTGCCCAGCACATGCTTCTAGGAAACCCATCTTAATTACTTGTCTGATTCTGGTCTTGCAGGGTAGCTAATCTTGTGGAAGTCTTTGAGGAAATGCTTGCAGGGATGCTCATAAAAATTGATTTCTTGGAGACCCCAGGCCCATGAGAGGCATTAGGGAGGAGTCTCAAGCTGACATCAAGGTGACATAGGCTAAGGAAATTGCTTGTTCCCTATGCTCAGCTGAGTGGGAGTTATCAACACTCTCGGCCTGGTCCATGGGGGTCCTCAGGTTGGGGCAGGATTCCTGGGAATGAGTTCAAGTTGTGACAGGGGTGGATTTAGTTTCCAAAACCCAAAATGTCTCCATTTCTATGAAATTTACTACCCCAATTCAAAGGATTGATTGGACTAACAAGCCAGGACAGAAAGTGGGGACTGAGCATTGCTCTTGTGGCTGAGACCAGTGGCTAGTGGGTCTAAGCAGTCTGTCCTCAGCTGGGGGCCAAGGAGGTACAAATGCCTTGAAGTGAGGGCCTGGGCTGGTCCAGCACTCTTGGGGGGAGCCTGGCAGGTGTGAGTCTGGTAGTGTATATCCTAAAGACTTCCTGCTTCTCTGAAGTGAGTCTTTCCTGGTCCCCAGCGATTGGTCCTTTTCTCCATCTGTGTTCAGAAGAGACATACTTTTCTTTTTGAATGGACTGACGTAATCCTCATTAATGGACCTTGATTCTGAAAAGGTGGCTGTAAGAATCATGTATCATTGTCCAAGACCTCAGGTCCTTGGGGCACACCGATGTGTACCCCCTATTCAATGACAACCTCTGACCATAGCATAAGTCTCGTTTCCTCCCTCTATCTTTTCCTAAAGAAAGCTGAGCAGTTTTAATGTGTCAGCATTTGTGTAGATGTGGAGACAAGCTACGAAGATGGGAAAAGTGAGGGGAGACCCATCCCAGCCTCAGAGATAGGGACTGAGTTAGGGGTGCTGGCACTTTACTGCACACACGTGGAAGTTTAAAACAAAGAGCACCCCATCCAGAAGGAAGGGCAAATCAGATGGCCAAGGAGAATGCGTGAGAGTGTTTGAAAAGTCCTCGACATACTTGTTTCCTATTAATAAGTTCTATTATAAAAAGGCAGGGGTGGGAGCTGTTTGATAAAATAAGATCTGGATGCACCAGTCAAAGGGAGAGTTAGTATGAACACTTCTCAAACATATTTGACTGTGGAGCTCTTCTGCCACAGGGCATCTTCTCAAACTGGTATTTCGTAGAATGTATTTGTGGGAAAACTAGGGTAAGGTAATTAAGAAGACTACGAAGAAGGAACCCTTGAGAAAAAAGATTCAAAAGGGCAGTGAAACTGTTTTAAGGATCTGACATGAAGAGAACTTTATCTTGTTTTTCCATTTATTTACTAGAACTTAGGGGTATGCTGGGCTCTGACGGAAGTAAGAGGGAACTTTCCGGTAATTGCTGACCCAGCACTTCCAATGGAGCAAGCTCCAGGGAGGCGAACAATCCTCACCTCTGCTCAAGAGCCTCGTAGAAGCTGCAATGATTCAGCTCAGCGTTTTTGGGATGTTGAATCTGGATGCTTTAGGAAAGAGATGGCCGCTCCAGTTCTCAACACCCCCCATTGCTCTTGCCTAACCTGCTTCTCTCACTCATCTAACTTTCTACACCCTGACAATATTTATGCTTACAGCCCTAGAGTGGGAAGCCGTCGTGGTAATAAGTACAGTGTAATCCAGCGCTGTAAGAACCCACATCAGCTGTTCTTTGCTGCAGAGGGCTGTCTTGTGGATTGTCAGGTGCTTAGCACTGTCTCTGGCCTCTACCCTTCGGGTGCCAGCAGCAAGCGCTCCTCCTTCCCACGTGGTGAAGTCTTCCCCACCTTGAACACCACTGGTCTATGTGAAAAGCACAGAGGAGAAGGAGCAGTAGTTAGTGTGTTTCATGATGCAGGCATTGGGGCTGGATCAAGAGTGAAGATGCTTAGGCTTTATCCTTTGAGCAATGAGAAATTATCAGAGCAATGAGAAACTATCAAGCAGATCTTACATACTTGCCAGTGGATGTCTCTGTGCGCAGGATAGATTGGAGGAAGAGAGAATTGTTGGGACTCAAGGCCCTAAACATGACCGAGTCCAGGAGAGGGGACAGCGAAAGACGTACAGAGCAGAGCAGGCAGGACCCCACCACAAGTGCAAAGAAGGGAAGAGGCCAGTGGGTGGTGACTTGTGTGCTGGGTGACCTGGGACGACATTAATTAAAAGAGGGGCTAGAGGAGGAGGAGCTGGTCTGAGGGAGAGCAGGATAGGTTTTATTTTAGGGGGTGCTGAGTTTGCGATGCCACAAGACATGCCACTGGAGCAGGACAGGCGACAGGCAGAGGTCTGGGTCCGAAGCTCCAGAGGAAGATGGAGGGTGAGGAGTTGGAGGCTCTGGCTTGGTGGCAGTTGCTGCGGAGGTGGAGGGCATAACTCAGGGAAGGGGGAGGAGCAGAGAGATGCCGGGGCCTCTCCAGGTCTCACCGTGGCTGCCCGCGGGGAGGGGCAGGTTGAGCTTGGAGATGGAGCCGGGCTGACCAGAGAGCTGAAGGCAGGGGCACCCCCCAGACTTTTGGTCTCATTGGCCAGATTCAATTGCAAAACAAAACAAAACAAAACAAAAACCAGTTCTGTAGACAAGCAGATGGCAGCCACGTGGAGCTTTCCCGGGGTGGGGGCATGGTCTGTGAGCCCTCTTCCTTGGTGGCCCAAGTTGGAAGGGAGCTGCTGGTTGACAGTTCCAGGCCAGGGCTCTCCCTGTTTGCACAAGCTAGAGGGTGTTGCCCATCCAGATGAACACCATCGTTTCTGTCACAGAACATAGAAACAAACTGAGCACGCTGTTGGCGTTCATAACTTTCCGGGAGTTACTTTTGACTGGGGGATGGGGAGAAGAGAGGAGGAAACTTTAGTGCTTCCTGTTATTTTTGAGTCATTTATGAATTTTACCTTATGGCAAGTGGTGGCCTTTTCACGTTTTGGCTTTCGTAATAGGAAACATGATCCCCATGAGACTGGCCAAGGGGCAATTGCAAAGAAAGTCCAGGTTCCATTAGCTTTTTAAAAAGTGTATGTAATATAAGATTTACCATTTTAGCTAATTTTAAGTGTACAGTTCCATTGGCATTAGGTCTATCCACATTGTTGTGCAACCCCCACCACCGTCCATCTTCAGAACATCTTGTCTTGCAAAACAGAAACTCTGTAAACTCTGTCCCCAATAAACTCTAACTCCCTGTGCCCCCCCTTCCCCCAGCCCCTGGCACTCACCATTTTACTTTCTGTCTCTGTGAATCTGACTACTCACAGGGGCCTCACATAGGAGGAGGCATCTGATATTTACCTTTCTGTGACTGGTTTATTCACTTAGCATCATGTCCTCAAGTTTCAGCCCTGTTGTAGCCTGTGTCAGAATTTCCTCCCCTTTTAAGGCTGAATAATATCCCACATTTGTCTATTAATTAGTCAGTGGGCACTTGGGTTGCTTCCACCCTTTGGGTATTGCTGCTGTGAACATGGTTGTACAAATAGCCATTTGTGTCCCTGCTTTCAGTTGTGTGGGGGAAATACCCAGAGCATCTCTTGGCTTGTGTGGCATTGTTGCATTCTTTCTCTATTGGGGATTGCTAGAATCACTTGCTAGCTCCCTGTCCTTCTGATGCTGCCTTTGTTACCCTTCTGCTTTGGCTCCTGGGAGAGCCTCAGGTGTGAATGTGGGCTGGGCTTTGTGATGAGCTGGAGAGCCATTACTGAGCCCTTGCTCTTAGTTCTTGGCTCTGAAGATCTACAGCTTGTCCACCTAGCACTGTCCTAGAATTTGAATGAGGGAGATCCAAGTTCTAATCTCAGTACTTGAACTAATATGCCATAACCTCAGCAAGTTTTTTCATCTCTCTCTGGGAGTCTGTTTCAACATCCCCACAATGAGAAGGTAGAGCTAAGTGATGCTTAGAGTTCCTCCTAGATCACAGAGGGGGAGAGCATAGTGGTCTCCTGAGCCCAGGAACCACCCTCCTAAGGTGGGTGAAAGGAAGCTCCAGATTCCTACCCCAGGAAGTTTGACCCAAATCTCATCTTCCTCAAACCTTGGATGGCTAGATGTTTCTCATGGCTTGTGTACTTGCTGTGTCCTGGTACACGCTGCATGGCTAGTTTTGTGAGTAAATGTAGCAGTAATTCCCCTTAAAGCAAAATTATATAATATGTATTATCCGCTCTTTGTTGAGAGAATGGGAGAGAGGTGGAATAACTGTTTTCACCATAGATTATTGGCAATCTCACAAACTAATACTGGAAAGAATATTCTATAGGCAAACTTTGCTTCCAATTAAGCTGTAGTTGGTCATGAACCAAGAAAATATTAACCCCCTTTTCTTCCCTCACTTCCTAAATTTTTTGAAGAACAGACCTCCTTCTTCTTAGCTTAAACTCAGAGCAGGTCAACTGTCCTGGAACTGGAGAGGTGAATCCTAGAAGGACACCCATGTGATCAACTTTCAGCAACCTGGATGGCACATGAAAATTTGGGCTGGTCTGGGATTCCCTGCTCGGGTTTAGGGACTAGGAACTGATCTTCCGTCAGTTCCCTCTCTGCCCCACCAGTGAAACATCACATATATATATATATGTATTTATAATCTCTTGCTTTTCTTGGTCTCGTCTATAAAAAGCAGATCACCTGCTTTGTTCAAGGATGTGGTATTAGGCTAGATAACTGGAACCCATTTGAAACATGTGAAAATGTATAGCATTTTCTTCTTTGGGGACATTTTAACCATCTTATTAAAGAAAAGCCAGACTTTCTTTAAGTCTGGATACTGAGTCGTCAATTTTTTAATATACAAAATTTTTTTAAATTTTTAAATTGAAGAACTTCCCATGGCGATCGGGACTAGCTTTTGACAACACACGGTTCATAGAGGGGAATCCATATTGGATAAAACTCTAAAATAAATGAATAAAGAAAGGATGCCTGGGTGGCTCTGTCGGTAAAGCGTCTGCCTTCGGCTCAGGTCATGATCCCAGAGTCCTGGGATCGAGTCCGGCATCGGACTCCTTGCTCAGCAGGGAGCCGGCTTCTCCCTATGCCTACCATTCCCCCCCTGCTTGTGCTCTTTCCCTCTGTATCTCTCTGTCTTTGACAAATAAATAAATAAAATCTTTTTAAAAATTATTAAAAAATAAAACATAAAATAAATGAATAGAGAAAAACAGACTAACATTAATTCTAAAACCTCACAGTTTTCCAACTTTTCCAAAAGTATGACCTGAGAATAACTGCAGATGAGCAGAGGACATTGCTCCTTTTTTGTTCCTGACAAGTGTAGCTGCTAAAAGGCTGTCAGTATTTTAATAACAAGACATCATTCCCATTTTAATAGCTTTATGTAAATTTTCATACCCACTCTGAAGGCCATGGGGTTTCTGGACCTGTGTCTCGGTTGATGGTACATGAAAGACCCTTTTTGCTCTAGCTGCGAATAAGGCGAATTTTATGCATAGTGGGAGTCATGATCTATGCGTGTTGGTTTGGGGGAGGGGAGCTATTTTTAAAAATTCTATTTCCTGATAAAAATCTTATCATCTTTGTAGTTGCTGTCATTCTAGCTAGGTAAGTGTTCTCAGGAGCTGGCTCATAATCTCTGTTTTGGGGATCAGTGGTCTGGGATGGAAGATGGGAGTGTTGTTGGAGTAGGAAAGTTGTAAATTTGGAATCATCACAACAATGGGCTTTTTTTTTTTTTTAAATGGTCTTTTACTTACCAATGGGCTTCTTTACAGAATTATTTAAAGTCTCAATTTTTATTCCCATTTAAATGCAGTAAGAAACCTGGCCCTTTAAGAAGTGCAAAGGAAAACAGGTCACTGGGTGGTAAGTTTCTCAACTGATCACCCTGGCTTCACATTTGGGGTGTATTTTGGTTGTCTTGCGCCTGAAATCTTCAGTGCTCCTCAGGTTGTGGTGGCATTTGCATCATGATGCTATTGTGGGTCCTCTGTGGATGGAAGCCCGGTCTGCAGACACCTGCGGGAGGAAACCACAGATGACTTCTGCCAGGATCTAATTCTCCCCCATACTCCTGGCAAATTAAAGCCGCGTTTAGCAGCATGGTTCCAGGGCACTGGCAGGGCAAGGGTTGGCTCATTCTCTTACAGACACAGTGTAGCTGGATGCACTCATACATGAAAAATGATCTGAGTGCTGTGGGTGGGGCCCTCGAGCTCGGGAGGTGAAGCTGGAGGAGGAGAGAGCAAATCTGCTTCTAAGCTCAGGAGGGCATGGGGAGCGGGCAGGAAGCTGGAGCACACGCTGGCATGGCTCACATTTTTGTTGATAGCTAATAGCCTAGAACTTTAAAGAACTGAATGGAGAAGGGAAATGAAGCACAACAAACTTTGGAGCCTGTCCTGGGCAAGCGGCTGTGAGACACAGTGGAGCGCGCTCACGAGATCAGCTCAGAAGCAGGTAGGAGGGGGGACCTGAACAGGGGAGAGAATCGGATCTTCTCTCTGAACACAACTTCTGTGGTTTTTGTTTTGGTGGTTTTTTTAAAGCATATGAGAAATGAGTAGATAATACTGACATAAGAAACAGACCTCGCCTGAATTGTGCTGATATCTGCCCAAGCGAGAGTGTTTCTCAGTTACTCGTTTGATGACCAAATGCTTGTTACATTCTGGGGGTTGCTTTAAAATCACACAAAATCACACAGCAGTTAGTTAAAACTGATTTTAAAACTGGCAGATGATAAATGAATTGCAGGCACTGTTTTAGAACACATACTTTGAAGATAGCCCGCCAGAAACTGATTTTCAGGCTTGACCGTTGCTGTATTTTCATACTTCAGCGCCAACAAGGTGCTTGCTAATTTTTGCTGGCTTTTGTAAGAAAGGAGGTAGATGTATAACAGCTGTGAAATATCCAGAAATTGACTGGGATCCAGAATGAAGCCTGAATGCACTAATGTTTTCTCCATTAAGGCAGGCTTTCTCTGCTCAACTTCTAAGTCAGGGAATTGCAAAATGAAGTGTGGATCGTGAGTATTTGTCATGGGGGGGAGGGGCTGAGGGTTGGAAACTGTCATGGTGACGTCTTCACACTCAGAAGTAGAAAATAAATGGGGAGGGCCAGGGGTCACAGCCACACGCACAGATAATTTGGAGACGGATCTGTGGTTCCCGTTGTAGCTGCATCTCAGAGCATCCTTTCCATTGCTGGGGCTCTCGAGAGAGGAGCAGAACAGAATGAAGACCATCTCAAGCCTGGGTTTCTAAACCATTGCCAGGCCTTGCTTCTGCTAGGCGCCTGGATAATTTGACATGGATTCCCACCGCCCCAGTGAAGTGGTCAGAGTAGTGGAATTGAGCTGACCTGGGGGAGGTCGGAAATGGTGTGGGTGGTCAGAGTGACAGGAGCACAGAATTAGATCCAGAATTTAGTATTTTGGTCGAATAGTCCAGCCTGAGTACTGGCGCTCTTTGAGTTGAGCTTTTGAGAATGCCCTGTTAGCCCCAGGGGTGTGTCTGGGGAGGCAGATGTGAGAGTCTGCTTCAACTACTGGCTGGCTTCATCCTCGTGCGGGGGCCACATCTTCCGGCTTTGCATTTTAGGCCTGGAGGGCTGGGAGATGGCTGTGCTTAGTCAAGGCAAGCCCATACCTTATCGCTGGTTTCTTTTTCCCTCTGAATTCTCTGCCTTCCACAGCGACACCCACAGAGGTGTGGGGCAGGGGCGGGTATGACACAGCCTCTCCTGTTCCCCACCACCCCCAACTCTTGTTCTTTCTGGCCTGCTCTCCAGCAGTTGGGTGGGGCCCCTTTGTCTCCTATCCTTTATGCGTCTGTCCCAGGTGCTTTTGCAGTGAATTAAGGTGAGCTGGGGGACTCCTTTTCAGGTTCCATTCTGGAAGCAGTCAGAGGTCAGCCAACTGTGGCCTGTGGACCAAATCCAGCCTGTCTCAGCCTGTTTTTGTGGGGCTCAGGAGCTAAATATGTACTTTACATTTTAAAGGGTTGAAGAGACCAACAAAGAAGAATATAGGACAGAGACAAATACGACCTGCAAAGCCTAAAATATTTTCTCTAGGACCTCTTAGAGAAAATAGTTGCTGACCTCTGATTTTTAACATCATTCATGACTAGAATGACCAATGGAAGTTCTCCACAGCTTCAATGAGCTATTGTTTTGGAAACTGATTTTCATTTGTCAGTCTGTTAAATGGCATTATTGCCTTAAAAGGGGTGGATCAGGAACAGGGAAGTTGGAAGATTTTCTTCAGGGTCCAGTCAATGGGAAAGAAATGTCAGATGAACTGTGCAATACGGCTGGATTTTGCCCCTGTCCCCTTGTTGGTGAACCCGCTGGTGAAGCCATCCATGAGACAGCCCACCACATGTTGATGGTGCCCCCCACTGGAAGAACCTGATGGGGAACATAACACCCTGCTAACTTACACAAAAATGATTCACTTCCTTGTTTCTCTTTTGTGGACAGAATGCTGGCCAGAATTCTACAATCCGAGTTGTTTAGTATTGCCACTCTGGAAAAAAAATTTTTTAAAAAAGATGTTTTCTGTAAAAAAAAGATAGTGAGTTAAGTGAATGTCATATTTTCTCATATCCAGAACAGTGTTCCTTTATTGCTCTCTAAGAAAGCCTACTCTAGGTACACCAGCCTTTCCCCTGAACATGCAGTTCTCCTCCACCCAGCACAGTATTTCATTGTTAATGTCATTTCTAATAAGGGAAGAGGAAAATCTGGTGACCTTGCTCATGTTTAACTTGTGTCAAAACTGCAGGCCTGGATGTGGAGCAGACTTCTGTAAGTAGCTCATTGTCCACTGCAGAAACACAGAAAAGTTTCTCACAAGGAGATTATAGTTTAAGAAGAAAAACAAAACAGCCAGTATTAATTTCTTTTTTTCTCCAAGACACTTCAGCCATCTAGCATCCTATATTTGGAAATTGGATGCTGTCCGTGGAGAAGAATGGGGGTGGGGCCCAGTTTGACAGATGAAAACAAGTGAGGAAGTATGAAAATATGTATAGTCTGGTGTCCTATGGGAGTTCATGGCTAGAAAACAAGATGGCGGCAATGCACTTGACAAGTCGACTTGTCAGAGCTGACAAGGGTGGGTCCTTTAATCTACCATGTGAGCGAGGCAGCACCTTTGACTGTATTTAGAAAGGAGTTTGGCTCTGAATGTAGAGATTAAGCAACCTGCTATTCCTGTATGTGCTGGAATTTCTCAGACATAGTCAGAAACCTGATTTGCGTAACTGCTGAAACTCGACTAGAAGCCGAGCAGACTGAGGCCTGGACTCCCCAAGCAAGGAGCAGTTAGGAATCACAGCACGTGAGGGAATTTATTAAGCTTGCCCAAGAGGGTGTGGTGCTGTGTGGCCAGATTTAATGGGGCAGGCTCTGGGGTGAAGGGTCAGCTTTGGGTTCCCAGCAGGCCATGATTAGAGGGTGAGTAACCTCTTCCTCTACATGAGTTGGTAGTATGTATCTAAGAGCTCTAGAACTACCTGGTATCTCAAAGTAGCGTGAGGGACCTTTTTGTTTTGAGCCATGTGACCAAGCTGGCTCAAAAGGATACAGAAACCGCCAGGCAGTCAAAGTCTGATCATGAGCTAAACTGGAGGATAAGCCATGAGCAGCACTTAATTAGCCAAGTCATTTGTAGAATATTGGGAGGGCAAGTGTGTAAGCTCAAAACTGGAGCCTCTGCCCCCTCCCGTTGGCTCTCTGAACAGGGCCGGAATCTGACCTCTACTCATCAGCTTTTTTCTGATGGTGAATAGGATAAAAGATGGAGCTAAATGTGTGCCTATGTGTGCAAAAGTATGAAAATCTAGAAGAGAGGAATGGCCAACTAAATAGAAGTTATGATTCTGAGTTAGAAAGGGAGACTTGTGATCAGGCTGTGTCCCTCTTAAGAACTTCTGTAGGCAATGCATCCTCTCAACTCCAAACATCCTTTCTAGACATTTCCTGTAGTGCGGGCCAGGAGCACAACATCCATTTCACCTTGGATGTCCTGACTGGAGCTCTGCTGTTTCCTCAGTGGCCAGGGAATAAGGGGGCAGCATCCCTCTTCCATTGACAAGACACCTGCTCTGCTTAGGAGAGGAGGAGGCTGAGTGTGCCCTACTAGGACATCTTCTGATGGCTTTTCTATCCCTGGTGGCCCACTACCTTAGGTTGCCATGGTTTGTTAAATCTAAGTGTGTGTGGGCATGCAGCCACACTACACTGCATTCCACAGATGGCCTCAGTAGGGCACGGGGTGAGCTCACAGTCTCAGCTTAGATACAAGGTCCCTGTGCAATGAGTTGAGCCCTGGCAACAATTGACCTGGGCTCTAGATCTGCCTCCCTTTGTATGATCCCTTCCTGAAGAAGCAATATAACTATATTTTACATGCACCAGAGGAACCTGGCACTTAGAAGGACCCAAAGATGAATCAGAGACCTGTACCTCTGAAACAAATAATACATTATATGTTAAAAAAAAAAAAAAAAAGATAGTAGGAAGGGAAAAATGAAGGGGGGAAATCGGAGGGGGAGACGAACCATGAGAGACTATGGGCTCTGAGAAACAAACTGAAGGCTCTAGTGGGGAGGGGGGTGGGGGAATGGGTTAGTCTGGTGATGGGTATTAAAGAGGGCATGTATTGAATGGAGCACTGGGTGTTATAAGCAAACAATGCATCATGGAACACTACATCAAAAACTAATGATGTATGGTGATTAACATAACATAATAAAATAAAATTAAAAAAAAAAAAAAAAAGGACCCAAAGTGATTCCTTTGGTAAAAGAGAAGCATTACTTTATACTTTTGGTAACTTTGAGGTTCGGAGGCTATCAGGTATACTTAACCAACTGAGCCACCCAGGTGCCCCTTCTATCAGGTATACTTAAAGCAAGATACACTTGGACTATCTTCTTTGCCTTTCTAATTTCCGCTCTAGTCTTCTTCCCAAATTAGAAGATGGAAACCAAGCTGGAAGTTGGCAAAGTAGGGCAAGTCCGAGGAATAACCAGAGCGGCCCTTGAGAATCAGTTCAGTTAAAAGGCCTCTGTTTCAACGGGACTCCTCAGACTTGGGGTGGGGAGGGGCAAAGCACATTTGCAGGTTTCTCCCTTAAAGGGTAGATAGATGGCCTTCTGTTTCTACATTATATCTTCCCAAGCCTTGCCCTTTTAACAAAAGCTTAAACATTCTTACAGGCTCTCCTCCCTCCCCCTCCAAAAAAAAAAGTACTCTTGCAGTGAACAATTTGGAATTCCCACCCAAATCAGGACACAAATAGAAGTGCCCAAGCCAGGGGGAAGTGGGACAGAATTCAAAGTCACCGTAGTTGACTTTCATTTAAATAGCTTGAATCTCTGGATTCATCGTGGTGTTCTTGATGGAAGAGCAACCCTGTACCCATGCTTTTTGCTCTTGTTTCTACT